AAATTAGAAAAACATTTATTATTACTAGAGTCAAAAAAGTAAAAACACATTTTGTGAGGTGTTGGACTTCATTTTGCCCCTTTTCAAGTGAGGTGTTGACACCTCATTCGGGGGTGCCAACATGTATGTGATTTTCAGCTTCCCTTTTTGCTCGAAAACCTTTTATTATCTATTTAAATGAGATAATATTCAACTCACATAATCATCTTTGGATAATATTTTTAATTAATATATTTCAACAAAAACCTTTGTTTAAAATGTATTAATTGAAATTTAATATACATATTATTTTATTATGTAAATAAAAAAAGTATTTTTTCATTCAAACTATTTTAGACTATAAATATTATACTTTTATGTAAATATAAATAAGTATTTTTTTTTCCTATTTATATTGTTGGCATTAGTTACAAAAATAATTACTCGACATTTTTTGACGGATGAATGACGAACTTGGTCACATTTGATGGTAGACGGATCTATCATGAAACCAATTACCTCCTTTTCCTCTTTCATCCCCATTATTCATTCTGGGTATGTCTGCAGAAAGGAGATTATGTTTATTTTATCTTGTGCCATAGTTGTGTGCCAAAACTACAAGTAAACATGTAACTTGGAATTGTTATTTCTTTTGGTTATTTGGTATGAGCTGCTTTTTGAGTTGTATTGCAAATCCTACAATAAGATAGAACTATGAATATGATTAATTAGTGTATAAGTATTGGAATCATTCATTACTAACAAGTAAAGTTTGAACTTTTGAGTTTTATGAATATTGATTAGAAGAGTTATTAAGTTAATGATGAGTTTTAGTCCAAATTATTTAAATTGATATCAAAATAATTATCTCATAAATGTGGCCCATATTAACTATCATAGCCGGGGTGTTCCTCATTGTGGAACTGGTGAGTGAGGAGGAGGAAGTGTGGATGCTAGGCCACTAATTGGTCCTACCAATTGGAATACAAGCAAGTGGTCGCAGAAAAGGATATCTTAAATCATTAACTATGTGGAAATTTAAAACCTAGAGCTTTCGTGGATTCCTCCCTCCCTCGATCAATTTGCGAACACTCCACTGTTTTTGAGTCTTCGTTATCGTCGATCACCTCTCCTTCTTTCTCTCTCTCTCTTTTTTTTTTTTTTTTGTCTGCATGTTTCATTAAGTATTTTCAAAAATTAATTCTGAGTGCAACTTATGGGTATAAATATGGGACTCAATGGGGAGAGTCCAAAGCACGCTATTGCCTTCTGTTCAAAATGAAGGCATTTGTTATTGCAACCATTCTCTTGTTCTCCATTCTCATTCCCACTTCCACTTCGGCTGCTGAATTGGTCCCCGATGGTACATATATAAGATTATCTCATATCCTTCCTACATGAGTTTTTGAAGGACAAAAAAAAACCCGAAAGTTTGGATACAAAAGGTTTTATTACAAATATTATATTAATTGTATGGGCTAACGTATATGCTTAAAATTTTGCAGGTGCTGTTCCACGGGGGGAGTTGCGCCCGACACCACGTCGTCCATGTTCAATATATAGGAGATGCAGGCCACCGCTAAGGCTACCACCGCCACCGCCACCGCCACCGCTAAAGCCGCCATCATCGATAGGCCCAATCTCCATGTTCAATATATAGCATGGGCCTCATCTCATGCAGTCCACATAATTAGCCCATCATCAATAGGCCCAATCTCCAGCTACCCGGACCAACCATATCCTCTCTTCGTC